GGGGGGTATAAAGTTTTTACTAATTGCTTTTGATTCTAAAAGAGAGAAACTTGTCTCTTTTTCTTCATTCTCTCCCCAATCGGGTCTTCAATTTTCTGAATTGGTTACTGCGTAGTGTACTCTATGCATACTTTTGGGCCTCAATTGTTGTGTAGTTCTCTGTCCGGCATGTTTAGGCAGCTTATACGTACCTGTTCGAACTTTATTTTCCTCTTTATATCACTGTTAGATTTAGCATTCAAATTGACTAAAGTTTAAGTGGCAATCATCTCCACGATGTTTCTACTGTTGCACTTTAAACTCCATTATATCTCCATTTTCTTAAACTCAAGGACATTTTGCAGCAAGGTTCAAGACACTGTTCCATCTAGTGGATCAAAGACGTCAAAGAGGGTAGGTAAACCTGATAAAGCTACTACTAATCCTCCACATAGCGCAGCTGTATCATCAAGCAAATATGAGGAAGATTTTGATGATTTTGATCCTCGAGGGACTTCAAGTACTAGTAAGTATCTGTATATCTGTAATAGATGCAATGCTATTCTACTTTATGTTTTCTAGAAGGCCCTTTCCAAGTCTTTTGCCTAATGTTTGCATAAAAAGGTGAAGTATCACTAGGTTCCATTTCATTTCTTTTTGCCCCTGGGGGTTAGCTCAATTGGCAAAGGTTGAGGGACTTTTGTCTTAGGTCACACGTTTGAGCCTTGCACCAACTGAACTAACTCTGGTATTTAAGTGGAGAAAGGTAGGAGTGGGCCCATCATCGTGAGTTTCGAAGGCTGCGGTTGGCCCAAAGGGTCGGCTCCAGCCAAACTTCTCGGTCATAAAAAAAAGGTGAAGTATCACCAATGTTTTGCATACAAAGGCAAAGTTTCACTTTTACAAACTTTGGTAGTCTGTGCCAAAGAACTTAACTGGTCTTTTTATCTATCAGATATCCACTTGGGGGATCCAAAAGATAGGAAGAATTTTTCTTTCGCCTCACAAAAGCTTAGGTTTCCAAGTGGGAAATTAGTAAATTTTAAAAAGATGTCCTTTTGATGCCTTCAAAAGAAAAAAAGAAGAAAGAGGTTGGCTGGACTATAAAATACTAATGCTATTTATTGGTTATGAAAAGCCAAAGATAAGGTTTGCTTGTCCGGCAGTCGTTTTGTTTCATAGAGAAGACATTTATCTTTAAATTAATCTTTTATCTAATGAAGTGGTGTGCCGAACATTTTGGATGTTTAGAACAATGCAACTTTTTACATGAAGTACATTTTCTTTTTGGGTTTTTTTTTTTGGGGTCGGGGGGGGTTTGGACAGGAACTTCCAAATTGCAGAGTTGTGACAATATATGTGGTGAAAAGTAAGACATGGAGGATTCTAAACTTGGGCATTCCTGGAACTTATTTTCTTATTTCCTAGGAAATTACTTCTATATAAAGGTAAATAAGTAACTCTCCAACAACTTGGGAGCAAACAAAAGAGACATCCTCAAACATTTCAAAGAAATGAAAAATAAATCAAGTGAAATCTTCATTATGGTCATAGTAACTTGAGCAGCCTTTTCTCATGATTATGTACGTCTCATTTTTATATGCTTTATGATGTAGCATTAAGATTACATTTTGGTGCTACACAACATACAGATTTCCTTGTGCAACTTTCACTTTTAGTTTGTTTACCCTTTTCTTTTCTCTATCATGTTTATACCCGCATCAGCGCACACCCTTGCCTTTTGGTACTTGTGCATGTAGTCAACCTATTGTTTGTGTGATTAAGGGCCTTCAATGACGCCTTTCTTTAACTGACCTGTCTGGTTGATTGTTTTTCTGATTTGACGAAGATAATGCCAGTAAAATCTTAAGGACTCGATTTACCGAAAAATGGAAAGAAAGCCTAAGTACCTTGAAATTTTGTTCTCAACAACCTGGCGGAATTCCAATGGGGCAAATCCTAAGCAAATTTTTTTTTTTTTTGGATTTGGTTTCTGTGATGCAAAATATTTAAAGAAAGATCCTTATAATAAATTCATCTGGAACCTATTCCATGTAGAATGTGTCTTGTATTAGTTTTGGATTGAGGCTCGGTTGTTGTTTTTTTGCAATTTACTATTTCTTTTGATTGTCAAGCAGAGCCTTCCACCGAAAAATCTGACCAAGTAGATCTATTTGGACAAGATTTGATTGGTGACCTCTTGGATGTACCAACACCTGTTCCGGCTGATAATTCTACTGTCTCTAGTAATCGATCAGAGGTTGATTTATTTGCTGGCGCCAATTTTGTATCGGCGAAACCACAGTCTGAGGTGAGGGTAACTTCTCAGGCTCCAGTGAAACACTCCATCATGTTTTTTTTTGCAATTTTGCTTTTTGGTTTGTTAGTTAAAAATTGGCCATCTGTCTTTTCTGCAGAAAAGTGTAGATCTGTTTGCTTCTCAGCCTGCCTCTTCATCTGCAGTTTCTTCAACCATAGATTTTTTTTCTGCACCAGATCCTGTTGTGCAATCCGATATCAGATCTTCTAAATCAGACAAGATAAATGCTACTACGGTTGATCCATTTGCTGCAGTTCCACTAAATACCTTTGATAGTTCTGATCCTTTTGGTACATTTGTTTCTCATGCTGATCCTGTATCAGTAGCCAGTGAAAATGCTAACCGTGGAGGGAATCAGGAGGAGACTCCTAGGAAATTAGATAAATCGCCTGTTGAAGCTAAGCCCGCACCAAAGAAGGATGATTTTCAAGTCAGATCTGGAATATGGGCTGATTCATTGAGCCGTGGACTGATTGATCTGAATATCTCTGCACGTAAGTTTCTGTTCTCTGTTATCGGTGGCAACATTTCTGTTGAACACCTACTTTTTTTTTTTTACCGTCCGGTGTCTGGAAGCCACTGGCCCGATTATTTCGGATTCACGTTGTAGAAAGCTCACTATGGGAGTTTTAGTGCTCCCTAGTCCCTACCAAAGAGGACTCCATTCTCAGGGCTTAAACCCGAGACCTCTGGTTAAGGGTAGAGGAACCTTTACTGTTCCGCCAGTGACCAGACCCTTTGGTGGTTGAACAATTGTACATAGTATGCTTACCATTAGATATTAGGTTTAAATATGTTAGCTTTATAGTAGAACTAGGCTATAGTTACTCATCTTATAGATGATTGTACTTAAATCTGTTTCCCCCCCCGAAATTTGCAGCCAAAAAGGTCAACCTTGCAGACGTAGGCATCGTGGGTGGATTGACCGATGGGTCAGATGTGAAAGAAAAAGGGCCTACTACATTTTACATGGGTAGAGCCATGGGTCAAGGAACCGGGCTTGGCCAATCCGGGTTCACGTCCACATCAACGGGTGGAGATGACTTTTTTTCAAGTCACCAGAACTATCAATTTGGCAGCTTCCAAAAGTGATTTCGCGTATCACCACAACTGAGATTCGTTCCTCCCAGTTCCCACTAAATATTCATTTGTGAATTTCACCTCTAAATAGAAGTAGAGAGCAGTAGTGTGTTGGTGCACATTTGGAAAGTGATCAATATATATATATACACACACACACACATACCATGCAGCTATCCTGCAGAGTGCAACAGAGTGCAAAATATTCTTTTGCTGTGCCTCTTTTACTACTATACACAATTTCCTTGTACTTGATCTTATAAACTGTCTTATGCTTTTCCTATGTATACATAAGTAGATATAACTCAACCCTTTAGTTACTTACAAATTTGGCATATGATTGACTGATTGTGTACACTACCTGGTACTAGTCTGACTCATGGTGATCTAATCAGAAGATCACTGCATTGCTCCTAGTGGTTTGATTGCAACGTTTCGAAAATCGAGTGGTAACGTTGACCACCGAATCAGATGTCTCAGGGTGTGCTGGAATGGTCGGGATTCATTCACCCTGAATCAGAAGTCTCGGGTTGGAATCATGGAAATAGATAATCTTTTTGTAAGAAGCTTAGCTTTTCTAGTCATCTATTAGAGAATTCTCAAGTTTAAGCTATCATTTGTAGGTGTGTGAAATACGGAAAAGAACCATATCGAAAACATTTATAAACCATATTCAAAACATTTTTAACTCTTTCTTTTCACAGAGCCCGTGTATTGTAAGTGATTCAAACCTGCTTGAAGCGAGCCTCCCATAGAAGCAAATAAAATTGGTGAGTTGTATGAACTAAGTTATGAGCAATATGAATCATAAAATTGGTGAGTTGTATGAACTAAGTTATGAGCAATATGAATCCAAACCGGCAAGACCAAGGAGCGAACGGATGACTTGAGCAAATAGGACACTTTGGTGCCACTATTGATTTTTTTGACTCCGCTTAGTCCAATGGCCATAACTTCAAGTTTAACAAATGTTGCCCCTCGCTTGCCTCATGGTCAATACTTTTAACTTTTAATCTTAAATATTTGCCCATTAGTCATTCGGGGGTCAAAAAATAAGATCATCCATTTTCAAGGTCATTGGGATATGGGTGTAATTTCCTGGGAACAAATTACAAGGGACAAGAGCCCCAGAATGAGTTCGCAATTACTACCACTAAAAATTGTCACCCTCACCCTTTAAAGATAGGGATGCAACAAAAAGTATTCAAAGATTCAATGTTCTTATGCTTCTCTACAGTTCGATGCCAAATTCCTTTGTTCACCAATCAGTAGTAGCAACACATGCAAATGAAAAGTTAACCTCGAAATACATTGCAAATGAAAAGTTAACCTCGAAATACATTCGAAAGAAGAGGCCTAGAACGAAGACATATCTTAAGATAGCTCTGTCCATTTTCACAATGAGGACAAACAACAAAATGGAAATAAGTGTACAGCATGGTAAGAAGCAATCACTATACACTGTATATTATCTAAAAAGGCTCATCGACCGAGTTATCAAAGGTACATGGTCACATTCACAGCCCAGGTACAACCTTAAGATGAGGGAAAAAAGAGTCAATTCTGTTTTCTGTATAGCTATAGATGAGAGAAATCTGAGTCAATGCTGTTTTCTCTCTTCTTGTATATACTGAAAAATCCGAGCAGCAGATTCTGTAGCAGTACTGGCATTACGAGGCACAACTTTGATAACTCTAGCAGGATGACTGGGAAAATGAGGCTGGGGGCTACTATCGGGGTTGCTAATAGCAGGAATGGTTGGGAACAGAGGAAACACGCTTCTTCCTCCGGTGGAGTTTCCAACGTCTACTCCACGACCTCTTTCACTTGGACTACTTGCAGTGCTGGCTTGCAACTCAGAATCTCTAGAGGGATACAATCTCACAACCTCTGGCACGGCTCCATTATTCTCTCTCGCAACATTACTTGAGTTCTGTTGTTGAATGTTAAAATTCACTCCCTGATCTCCCGATAACTGACCTTGAAAACCCGTTGCAGCAACCAGGTCTGGTTGATCAATAGCTGGAGACAGGATTACTGGATTCATAACTGGCATGCCAAACGGAGGAAAGTAGCCATGACTAGGTGGAGGTGCGAAAGGAGCTCCCGTTCGTTGATAGTATGCTGGAGCTAAAAAATTTCCCGTCATTGGAATCGGGGGTCCACAACTGCCATATATTGGACTCGTGAATGCAGGTCCAGGGTGTGGCTTGTATACTAGTCCTTCAGAAGGAGACATCACAGGTATTAACCATTGCTGCCCCGAAGATTGATTGAAGAGCAACGGACCCATGTGGGAGTCGTGTTTTACCGGTGTTGATGACGGGGTTTCTGAAAGTGGTCTGCGGCAAGAAAGAGATGTCTCTCCTACATCATTTTCGGCATTGGATTCCATCCTAGAGTTGGGCTTCTCGGAATCAATCTTCTGTTTCGAAACATTTTCAGGTGCTTTGCGTTTATACTCCAATGCAAGTCTTTTAGTAGACAACCTCTTTAAAGGTTTGCCTAAAGAAGAACTATCTTCGAGCATACTATTTGGCGAACCGGCTATGAGTTTCTGGACCTAATGAGTAATAAACAGAAAAACTTGAGCAAAATACTAAGTCCAAAGAAAAACAGGGAATGCAAAATCTCAATGCTGATACTTGAAGTTATTCAGTCTCTACAGCTGCTTTACCTTGAGTAGTCGATGCAACTCGAATACTTGGACTGCAAGCACTCTCTGTTGGCTGTAACCAGGACAATAGGGACAGCATCAAGATAACAAATAACAGATAAAAAGAAATTAGCTCTTTAACATTCATGCAGCCGAAGTACCGATACAAAATAAAACTAATATAAGACTGATGTACAGATGAAAATCAGCTGGAAGATAAATACCACTCTAAATTATATAATTGCTAAAACTCGCAAAACAAACTCAAGCAAACGGAAAACAGGATTACCAATACAAAATTGGTAGGTCTAAGCGTCTAACAAGCCGCTTGATAAAAACAAAAGCGTCAAACAAAGCCTATCAGCATTAAATGCAAGATGAAGCACACAGCAGAGTGCTAGTAAATGGTAGTAACCATGTCTGCACAAGTTGTCTCTTTTCAGGTCCAAACAGAAAAGTTCACTAATGCTTTTGACATTCATCCAAGTAACACGTCATTCAACCACGCGTCAAATGGAAAAGACTAAGCCACGTCATGAAAAGATCTTCAAGACACATTGTTTGATGAAGTTCTCGATATACAAGAAAGCGCAGTTGAGATGTAAATTTATGTAGAAGTGAATCACAAATATCATTGAAATAATTTGAAAAAACAATTGTATGTTATGAATGGTTATACTATAAACATGTATTCAAAAGCAGATAACTTAACACTAACAAGCACATATTGGTGCTAATTGACTGCAGAAATATTTGAGGAGCACATCTCATTTTTTAAAAAAACACCATGAGGATACACAAAAGGGACAATTTTTTACTCTCATAGTACAAGACATGATCTGAGTGGCATTTGAAAGTACATCATCAGCAAGTAAAAGTCAGGTTCAAAATAAAGCCAATTTATAACATCCCCGAAAACCCATCCGCCAAAGACAAAGATAGGTCTCATGTTCGCTCAACGTGATAAGAAAATGCAATATCAAGCTCAAGCATGCAACAATCAACCAAAGCTAGCACCAAGAACTCGGACTTACTTGGCAATAGCTCGTCTTGCTCTCCAGAAATGCTTTTGTCCTATTATTCTAACAATATCATCGGGAGATATGTCCATTTTAGATACACACTCCACCATAGAAGTCTCTGATAAGTCATCACACTGGTCCATTTCTCCTGTTTGGGATGATTTACATGTCTTGTCTTCAGGGGATTCTGTATCATTAATAAGGTTATTTGGATTTATCCGCTTTTATGATACGAATTCCTTCAAATGAAATGAAGAGTTACCATTATCGACATCCATGGCAGATCCGGCAAAGACAGTGCAATCAACTCGAGAATCAGGTCTGAATTGTAACCGTACAATATTGGTCATCTGTAATTCACCAAAGGTATTTGCATGATTCTTTCTCGGTTTGAAATGCAACAATTTATCAGTTTGCTTCAAACTACCTTCTGCCTTATCCGTAGATAAAGAATCTGAGGTACATTTACGGCTTATTGCATGATCTTTGGAGTTCTCTCCATTCTGGATTTTACCAAGCTGTCTCGTAATCAGACCAGTAATTTCTTTGAATTCTTTGTTTGAGCACCCTGAAATCGCTTGATTAGAGGGAGTGAGCTTTTCCATATCAAGATTGTTATAAAATTTCCCATGTCCCTGACCCGCCTTGAAGTTACCAAACGTGGGAATTCTAAAATCATTCTTTTCAGTTTGCTTTCTAGACTCAACTTTCTGCAACGGGGTATTTGAACCACAACTGCGGCCATGTGGCTTCTCAACTGAATGTCTTAATTCAGGAAGCTGTCTCAAGAAAAGTACACCTCTTTCATGTTCATTCCCCTACACAATTTAGTTGCTGAACTCAGATACAACAAATACAAACAACCACAAACTTACTATCCATGCATCAAAAATAGAAATAACAGCTCAGTCGGGAAAGATAAAGTTTGACATCAAGAAACCCTCTAAACCAGCAACTAGGGAGTACCAGCTTGCACTTAAGTACAAAGTCGAGGTACCTGTAAGTATGACCACAAGGGGAGAAATGCAGGAATGGAAACGACATATTTTACGTAGAAGAAGTGATCAAACTTGCATAAAGAGACCTATAAGAAAATGGAAACACATCGATAGAGTTGAATAGCATCCTCCTGGAGTATTAAAGTGAAACATTTGGGGATTAGTTGTAGTTATTGGTACTAGATACTTGGTAAAGAAGAAAAATTCCAATGTAAGCATTAC